TTGTCAGTTTTCTTGAGGTAGATTTTTAACGATAGTTTATATCTCTCTTTATATATTTATATATATCTGTGTGCACGGAATCAAGTATTTAGAGTTATACTTTCCAAACATACATAGAATTTTTAAGTATTATTTGATCAAGAGAGTTCATTTAGAGTTAACAGTTGCACCTTCAAAAGGAAGAAATCTAGAACTTGATGTAATTTTCTAGTCGTACATAAAATATGTGTTGTAAACTTCTTCCGATTAAAGACAATATATTTGAATAAAAGAAAGAAATTAATTAAAAACGTCGAATATGGAAGAGGTGTTTTAATTGAATAAGTGATAAAGAAAAAGTTTTTGTTATGATGGATAGAGTATTATGATAATATGGTTTTTAAAGAAACTTAAAAAGATATGTCCTCTATAGATATTTCAAAATTTGTAAATAAAGTAAAAGAAGAAATTAAAGAATATATAAAATAATTTGAATATCAATATACTAAAAAAGAAAACGATTATTTATTGAGTAATCATAAACTGGGAACATTTTATGCATTACCCAAAATTCATAAAAGTAAAGAAGTCAAAGAAATTTTGGAAGATGATAAGATGAAATATCTTTGGATAAAGAATCCTCCAAAAATATCTGGAAGATATTAAGATGAAATATATTTGGATAAAGAATCCTCCAAAAATATCTGAAAGATGATAAGATGAAATATCTTTGGATAAAGAATCCTCCAAAAATATCTGAAAGACCAACTATAAGTGGAAAAACTAGGTGATTGGACATAATTTTAAAACCATTTACATCTAAAGTACAAATTTATATAAGAGATGATACTGATTTTATTAATCACTTACCAGAGAAAAATTGAAAAACGAAATGTTGTTTTAATATCATTAGATGTTGTTTTAACATCATTAGATGTTGTTTCTCTTTATCCAAGTATCAAATAAGAATATGGTATAAAATCGATTTCATATTATTTAAATAGATACCCAGATTTATTACATCCACGCTTTAGTAAAGAAGTGATAATTAATAGTTTAAACCTTATTTCAAATAATTGCTATTTTGTTCATAAAGGCAATATAAATTAATAAACCTCTGGAACATCAGTGGAAACAAAAGTGGCTCCCACTTTAGTGATATGATATTTTGGAATTGAAATATTCAATAGTTTATCAAATTATTTTAAAAATAGTTATGTTAATTACTTGAAGCAAAATTCGAAAAGTTTTTTGGATATTATGGAACAGATCCTTTGATTTTGGAATATTTTTTGAAAATGTAAATCAAATTAACCCTAACATAAAGTTTACTTTCGAAATTGGCCCGGCATGGCCAGGTGGTTAGGGCGCTCGACTCGCAATCCGAGGGTCGTGGGTTCAAATCCCCGTCACACCAAACATGCTCGCCCTTTCAGCCGTGGGGGGCGTTATAATGTGACGGTCAATCCCACTATTCGTTGGTAAAAGAGTAGCCCAAGAGTTGGCGGTGGGTGGTGATGACTAGCGGCTTTCTCTCTACTCTTACACTGCTAAATTAGGGACGGCTAGCGCAGATAGCCCTCGTGTAGCTTTGCGCGAAATTAAAAAACAAACAAACAAACTTTCGAAATGAGTAACTGAGGTTTATCCTTTTTAGACATATGGATTATAAAAAAGGAAGACGGTAAGATTGAAACGGATTTATGTTACAAACCTTTTAATCCAAACCAGCTATTTAGATTTTTATAGTAATCATCTATACATACTAAATTAAATATTCCACTTTACCAAGCTCAAAAAATGTTTTCTATTGTTTCTAGCCCGAAAACTCAACAACACAGACGATAGAACTAAATTCTTACTTTAGGAAGTGTCATTATCCATAAAGCATAATAGGGAGAGGTTTAAAGTTAGCTAAGATTAAAAAGGAAATTAATATTACAGGCCCTACTGGGGAGAAAATACTTTTAATAAATTCTAGATTTAGTTGCAATTCACATAATGACATTTATGTATTATCTTGTATTTGTCGTAAGCGAGTATATGTTGGAGAAACAGAAAACTTACGTTTGAGAATAAATTTCATGTCAGAAATACAAATAATAGCCCATTACCTGTTAACAAATACATTAATAAGTGTATTATGGAAAACTATTATGCTTTACAAGAACCTCTTTTTCCAAATATTTCCATTTTTGGTATTATTTGAAAAGAATAATAGATTATTTGAAGACAATTATTTTACTAATAAATTTAAAACCACCTTTAATGTAACATAGTTTAACATACAGAGGAAGTTTAAAACATATATAAAGATTTAAGATAAAAGAACGCGGGAAGTTGTACGTTGTTAAGTAGGTCTTATTCGAGAAAACTGTACAAAGTGAAGAGTATCCTGAATGATACGAAACCGGCATTTTATGCTTTTATCTATTTGTGGTTTTATTGATTTCTTTTAAATTAACAGTAATAAATAAAGAATTTTTTTATATTTTTAAAGTAATTTTTATATTGTTTCATTTATACATATATAAATCTATATATACATGCACAAGTAATATAAAACTGTCCAATTAAGCAGCGTTTATCAAGAGATAATAAGTTATACGTGGTATATGCGTATTTTCGAAAACTTAAGTACAATTAGATCATGGTGAATTTGTTCAAAGTATATTAGTTCTATATTATATATATAAAAACACACTTTAGTACGTTTAAATCAATGCGAGTTCCCTTACAGTTGGTTTTAATTTATAAATAGCTACAATGACTTAATAACTGTTTACTCTTTTTAGCACCATGGTAAGTAAATCTAGTATTTTATATATATAAAGATACACGGAATTTATTACCCTAAGAACTAAGTGATTTCCTTTACAGTTGCTTCGTACATTTTATATAGAAACACAGAGTTTAGTACTATAAGATGATAACGATTTCATTGACATTTGCAGGTTTTGATAGTTTCTACATTACCTTTAAAGAACAACACCTTAA